AACCGTATGATGAAGATCTGACGGTTGAGATTCCACCAATATTACTTACTATTCATTATAGCTGTCATTCTATTATATCTAACCTTACAATAGAATGATAGCTATAATGAATAGTAATATAAGTGAAATATCAGCCGTCAGATCTTCATAATGTGGTTCAGCATTTCACTATATGAATTTTAATATTTTTCTAAAAATCGGATCATAATAAAATTTTAGACGTCTGTACTAAAAAAAAAGATGCACAAAAAAAAATAAGATAAAAAGTATTTCCCAAAATATAAAATGACTGAAATACCCAGGAAAAACGATGGGGTAATTTGGTCATTTTAAATTATTGAAAATAAATTTTTTTATTAAACCTTACAATAGAAGCGCAACTATAATGAATAGTAATATAGGTGGAATCCCAGCCGTCATATCTTCATCATGCGGTTCAGAATGCATACCACTCTATGAATTATACATTTTTTCTAGAAATCGGATCATAATGAAATTTAGATGTCTATACTAGAAAAAAGGATGCACAATTAAAATATATATAAAAAATATTTTCCAAAATATAAAATGAACCCAAATACCCCTGATAAAATGATGGGGTAATTTGGTCATTTTAAATTATTGAAAATAATTTTTTTATATTTTTATATGGTTCGTAATGTTATTACGTATATACAGCCAAAATTTTACCGCAATCAGATTTATAAAAAATAATAATTAAAATACATATTTTGAACCACATGATGAAGATCTGCCGGTTAGGATTTTTCCTATATTACTATTCATTATAGCTGCTCAGGTATTGGAAGGTTTATATATGGAAAACTCTTCTCAATGCGTATAGGCTAAACTGAACAGTGATTTTGCCTACACTTATCACCGTCCAAAATTCATCGCACAGTCAAGATTGTCCAGTAGTGTTTTATTTTTAATTTAATTTATACAAATCAGAATGACTTGAAATTTAGAGTGTGAGTACATCTTAGTGATGCACACCTAATAAAAATATAAAAAAAATAATTTGTGAAAATAATTTGATCAAAATACCCCCAAAATATTTCGGCGCTATTTGGTCAATGTTTTTCATGTAAATATTTTTTTTATATTTTTTGTAGATTTGCTTATTTTTTATGAACACATGCTCAAAATTTCAAGTCATTTCGATTTTTAAAAAAAAGAAAAAAAAAAAACACTACCGGATAATTATGACCGAACGATAAACTTTGAACGGTGATGAGGGTAGGCAAAATCACTGATCATTTTCGCCTATAGGCATTTTGTAGTATATTCCTATATATATATATATATATATATATATATATATAGAAGAATACT